ACAAGCTGCCCAGCAATGTTGTTTAAACTGATACCCTGTCTTTTTTCAAGAAACAATGGGATGAGATTCTTGTATCAATTAGGTACTAAATACGAAATGGGCTAGATGTGCAAAAGACCTACTCTCATTTGTAAATGTTTTAAAATTGACCCTTAAATCAATCGATGAACTATGTTCTCACTTTTCCACCTGATTCAATGTGTAGTGGGTCAGCTAGCACATAATTGCTGGTGTCCATTAACAAAGCAGGGACTGTAGTGGGCCTTCTATGACACACGAAACAATCAGGGATTTACGATCCATTAATTTGTTTTTTAATTAAATTTCCTAACCATCCCATTCCATGGCAGTATGAAAATCATATAAAGTATAGTTCTGGCTATATAGTTGATTTTCAAAACAAAACTTTCCTTGAAGCTAAGCTCCATAAAATTAACATTTCTAATGGTAAATGCATTTGGTTACGCATGTAAATACTGTAAGAATTTTACATTACACTTTGACAGAATTTCACTTCACACATTTTTAGGAGGTTTTTTTAGAACAATCACTGTTCACATCTTTTCACTTACAACCCAACTGGTAGGAGCCACTAGGGAAAACAACGTTGTAAACCAACAAAGTACTGCTTCTTACTTGTGATTCTGCCTTTGTCTATTGAACTGATTGTTAGCCTTATGAGGTTACAAAGCAGCTGTATTTAGAGTGGTTAGTTCTGCGGCACTCTCTAAAACTTTCAGTCCAGTTCACTATAATAAAGTTTGGTCTATGTTGTCTCTACTAAGTTCTGGAATGTTTGTAACTTCAAACTGTTCTCACCAATAACACTTTGTCCCTCATTGTATAAGATAATAATACTAATAATAAACTTTATTTTATATAGCACCTTTAAAGGTGGCTTCTCAAAGCGCTTTACAGGATGACAATAACAATAAATAAGAAGACTACAACAATAAATAAGAAGACTACAACAATAAATAAGAAGATTTCACAAGATAGGACACAATTATAATTACAACAATACAACAATAACAATAGAGGAGACCGTGGAAGGTGGTATTAAGAAGAGCAGAGGGGTGAAAAATGGAACCAGTTAAGTAAAGGCTTTTTCTGAAGAAGAAGGTTTTGAGTCTGGATTTGAAGATCATAGTCCTGTGGAGGGATTACATACAGTTTAAGAGAATTTATTTCAAAATTAGGGAGTTATTCTCAATTGACTTATATTTTGATGGTGGCAGCATGTCGGTGTAGTGGTTAGCATTGCAGCCTCGCTGCTAGGCAGACTGGCAGGTTAATTGGCCCCTGGGAGTGTACATCATTGTGTCTGTGTCTGTGTGTGCCCTGTGATGGACTGACATCCCATCCCAAGTGTGTCTAGCCTCGTGCCCGCTGTTGCTGGGATAGACTCCGGCTCACCCTGTGACCCTGTATTGGATAAAACAGTTAGAAAATGGATGGATATGGTTGTGGCAAATGGCTTTAATCTTTCAAAATTATACTACTTTTATAAACTATGAATAATGCATTTTGGGGTTCCTTTTATCTGGTTTAATCATGCAATTGGATGTCGTACAAAACGACACTGGTTTATGGTTTATAACACCAGTTACTGGTTTATGGTTATACAGTACGTTTTGCTTGTGTAACAGCAGCTTAAGAATATTTGAATTCCACTTGAAATGCTTGATTTTCGCAATAGCTTCAGGATAATAGCTGCCCTGAGAAGCATACTGTAACGGAACAGTTCTTACCAAAAGTCCGAAAAACCAGGCGATCCAAACGAGACAGACGGGTTATAAACAGGAACCGGATCGGAACCGGCGGGGGGAACGGAAACTTAAAAACATGACGGAGCCAGGCGAATACAGGTCTCGGGCTCACACGATATGGGAATCAGATGCAGAGCCCCCGAACTGCGTGGCTTTTAAGGGGGACGGGAAGGCGACTGGAACAAGGGGCAGGTGCACATAATTAGGTCCGAAGTGAAAGAGCCGGAGCGCCCTTAAGGAGGAGGGACTACAATCGAGACACATACAAAGTGTATGACATTTATCATTTAACCTCAGAAACCCAGGGCTCTGTAAGATCTGAACAGAAGGAAGATACTAATAATGAATATAATAATAAAGTATGCCTTTATATAGCATGTTCATCTCAAGAGAACCCAAACTGCTTGACATATTGAATGCATCTACTTCATCTACCACATAACCAATTTAATTAAGAGGGAACTATAGGAAAACAGATTTTCCAAGCACAGATTGGAAAGGCAAAGAGGTTAACAGGCTTAATCCATATAGTGAATTGGAATCTAGAAACCAAGCGGTCCATTGAAAGTCTCATCCTAAGGACAGTATCTCATACATCACTTTGTCCCTAGTCACCACACTAGAGCATTAGTTTGGAAAATCTAGTCCTGAGGGATGAGTACCATATTATGGTCTACCATATACTGTATTTATGGTATATTTACACTATATAGACCATATACTGGTCTTCATCATGTTTATCAATACATTAAAACATGCCTACTATGAGCCAATCAAATTTTAGATTTTCTTAATAATCATACGTTTGTACAGTATATGTTGCAACATACAACGCCTTCTATAAGTTTTCAGAACCTTCTTCTGGTGTTTCATTTTGGGAAATTACAAAGTAATGCATGCACATTTTTTAAATGTAATATTTTAATTCAAAACCTAAATGTACAAACTAATGACTTCTAAGTGTAAGATAAGCTACAGAAAATGCCAGGGAAAACTCAAGAAAAAAATAAGAAACGTTGATTGCATAAGCATTCAGACTCGTGACCACAATATTTGGTGGAATATTGAAGGTCACATTCCCAATGCATAAATATTACCAAGAATATGGAGCTGCTGGGGGCAAATATATTGCTCTAGGGTAGACTTCTGGCATTAATTAAGACAAATAATCTCAACTGTAGTCACCACATTAGGGTTCTTAGAAATTCTATTTTCATCAATCCCTAAGCAACTACTACATGATACAAAAATATAGCGGAGGGTAAGAAATCCTCTATAATTCAACAATTTTCATTATCAATGACAGCAGAGAAGGGACAAGCTTTTTAGTGTTAGAAAAATCATTATAAAATAGTTGAAATAATGTAACACTAGGCACTCCACTCCTTTAGACAACATCGTTTTTTGTCTTCTTAAGTTGATTTGTTCTTTCTATTTTATATGATTTCAATTCTTTCTATAATTGTATTATAATTTTCAGTATTTTACGTTTTAGAGGTAATGATAGATAATTATTATTATAATTAATTTATGTGTAACTGGGTAACCTTTACCTAATTTACACTTTATTCACACATTTTGGTTCCCATTTATATAGCTGGGTTAACTGAAGGTACTTTACTCAAGGTTCAAAATTATGTTCTTATGTATACAGTAGGTAAGACCTACCCACCTCGAATTTGAACAAAATCTTTAGCTTAAGGGTACAGATTCCTATCTACAATTCCCCTTTCCTTCCCTAATATAATTTATATTATTATTACATTTATATAGTGCTTTTCTGTACCTGGGGATTCTATATAATGCCACTCCTCTCTACCATCACCAATGTGTAGCACCCACCTGGATGATGCATTGACCCTGCAGCTGTATGGCTGAGAAACTGGATTCTTTTAAATTACATTTAATTCCAGTTTCTGTATAGACTAGTTGATATCTCCAAATTGACATTCCAAAGGCTAACTTTCTCTTCATTGTGATTTGCCTCCCTTTTTCCTGCATGGTGTCAGAAAGCAGTTCACATCAAGTGAAGGTACTGTATCAGTTAGAGTTTCAAGATCAGGAGAAGTAGCTGTGTGCGATATTCCAAGATTATGACATATGAATTACATAGCTCAACTCTGAGAAAGTCTGGACTGAATTTGTTACTGTAAATGTCAGGCTAAGCAACTTTTCTAGACCCTGCTCCTGACCGCAGATTAGCAGTGCTTATGTTTTTCTTTAAAAGGAGAGCATCACAATTTTTTTATCAGCCAAACAGTCCTGCATTGGTTAAGCAACAGATGATAACATAACTTAGTGCAGATAAAATATACCGAGGGACATTTTTCAAATGCAAAAAAGTATTGGAAGAATTAGTTGAGGTTTAATACTTCTTAATCTTTAGGCACTATCTTAATATAGTATAAATTTTAGACAGAAATAAAGTTTTATATCTGATATAAGGATAAATTAAAAGTACTACAAAAATATAAAACACAAAGTTCCAGAACATATTTTCACAAATGATTAAATTTCAGATAACACAGCTTACTAACCTGAAGAGAATATTTTGTGTAAGAATAAAATATACGAATCAATTCCCCTACTGTTTCTCAATAAACAGTCGATCCAGAAAGAAATAAGATACTCAGTTTTCAATGATACATAATATACAATATGTAAACAACTTCAGCCAAACAGAAGTGGAGATATTATAGTGCTTGCCTGAGTAGAAACCCTAGGACCTACAGTAGGACAAATGGAATTATCAATGTTTGGTGATAAACTAATAGAAAGCTTGCTTGCATTTGCTTGCTTGTTTTTAATTTGCTTGGTTGTACTGATTTGCTCAGTTGCTTCTTTAAAACCTTACTATCTAAAATCACCTAACACAAATGTTTCCAGGTGAAACTCACCAACGAACATGCAGGGAGACCTCAGACAGACATTTAGAAATGCAACTAACAATATTTTGAATTGTTTTTTTTTAATCAACCAAAAAATGTTTCACTTAAATGTGGTATGGCTTTCAGATTCCTCAGGTAATTGCTAATTTAAAAAAAAAGGTTTCACATAATGGTTTTCATTTTTCAAGAGGTTTTGGTTGTATTAAACATACAGGTATATCCGTGCTAATTGTACCAACCGCTGGGCTATAACAAAAAGTATGAATATATGTTAACTCAAGATGTAATGTGCTCCAAAAATAATTAAATGTTTAGCTGAAGCAGACTTTAAGGCTTCTCATACCTGTATAGGCTCTTGTGTCAGTCTCATGGGTCCAATCCGCTCCTCTGTAGCAGATACCTTTAAAAATACAACAGAAGGTGAAACATGAAAAGCCTGCTCTCACTGCATAAACATCAAAAGCGGAGGTATAAAGACCCTACCAAAGCCTGCTCCTTTGCAAACTCATCATTTGTAGTGCCTTAATGAAGCTTTTCAGTTTAGATTTAAATGCAGTATACTTAACCAGCAATTTATTTCTGGACATTTTTTAATTTTCTTCAGTAAAGAAAATGTGGATCATGAGATCATGAGATCTGTAGACAGACAAGGTGATGCCTTAACCTCTATGCCTCTGGGGTTCAAACACAGTAATCAATACAAAATGCTGCACGGCAAGGAAAGGTCTGATTGTCATGTAGTGAGCACATCTTTCTGTATGCATGTGAGGCCCCCAAGGCAGCATCCTGCCTTACATGATGTAAAGCCTAACACTGACGTCTACAGTTGCATGCGTCACTAAAATGGGAATTTATCTCCTCATCTCATGTGGTGATATCAGAGACGTGAACACACACCCTTACACCAGTTGCCTGTTACTTATCCATTATGAATGTTTACTCCAAAATGAAAGGACAATTCTGGTGTGAAAAATAATAGTTTGGAATGGCAAAAAGGTTTTATGTTGTTGAACACAAATGTTTGCTACATTAATGCTACAGTAAATGGCTTGGTTTAAACAAATGTTACACAGTCTTCTTGTCATTGCTTCATGAAAAAGATATTACTGCTGTGTCATCAGCCTGGAGAAGGCCAGGTACATTACATGGCTTAAGGACAAGTCCTGACTGACACTGATACATTGATAGTCCAAGGAAACCTTTGTTTTGTTTCATCTTTGGCATAAAAAAACCATGAAGAGATTCTAGGATATAAAAATCCTTAAAAGTACTGACAAAGTCAACCCAGTGAACTCTTCGGAATAACAGTCAAACCAGACGACAATAGTGGAAACTATGAGGAAGTGTGTTTCAAACCTGGAAAGGAGGCACTTCTTTACCTTAAATGTTATGGGAGGATGGAACAAGCTACCTAGCCATATTGTTGAAGGTGGTATCCTGACTTCTTTCAAGAAACAGTACCATTTGTACATTGCAGTGTAGAATGAAACTAGGGATAATTTGCCTTAAGCACTGGTTGCTTATTTATTTGTTTATTCAGTCATTGTAAAAGTTATAAGTCTTTATATATTAGAGATCTTCAACTAATCCCCAAAACTGACAAATAATACTCATATCAACAACATTTGTTTCCGATTACTTATCTTTTCTTCAAGAGGCCATAATATAAGAAGATGGGCTGACCATTTGAAAAAGTATAATAATGTCTGGAACAACATGAGAACATTTGTAATCTCAGGAAAAATAATTGTGGGCTCACAACAACGAGTCTATTTGAAATATTTGTTGCATTTTGCATTTCTAATACTTTCCATGGAAAACCACTATGTTCTTTATTAAATCAAAATCAATAACAGGCTTTGCGAATTTAAAAAAAAAAACAGAAATCATTCAAATCCAGAAGCTGTGGATTTAGATTTCATATGATGAAATTTGATCCAAATTTCCTCCTTAAGTCTCCAATTGAAACAGGTGGCTAGTGCTTTAACAATTGATTCATTCAATGTTCTTCAGGACTTTGAGCCCTGAAGTGCCAGGAGAAACCACAGATTTCATTGACCCGGACTTCACTTCTTTCTTGTCCTAACTCTTCTATGACAGCAAGCCTAATTTCACAGCTTCACAGAGAAGCAAAAGCATTGTACATAGCTAATTTCACATGAAAGAACACTCTCTAGCAAGCATTTAGTCAGGCGTTCACTTTCTTTTTTCTTCCTTATTCTAATGGAATTCTGATCAACTCAGATCTCCTCTTCTGAGAAAAGCAATGTACACCTAACATATTTCTTGTTAATATTGTAGGTTTTAAAACCTGTTTTCTGAAAAAGGTTATGAGTCCAACATAAAAGAGTATAGAGGACAGAGAGAACACGACTGATTTTAGTTGTCCCTTGAACAGGGAGGGACAATTATTCTAGCCAGTAAATCCTAGTCTGTCTTTGGTAGGTGGAAGGGCACGATAACACTTCGTAAAAACCCACACAATCCAGTAATCAAACTCAGGACTCAGTAGCAGTACTGTCTACCACGCCACTGTGCCACCCTAAAAAAATTCTACAGTATCTCTTCGTGTCTTTACAGTATGATGTAAGAAGAAATGTTTAGGGTTAGCTAATGTGAAACGTCTCATTTTAAAGGAATAAGAACTCTGTTACTCAGCACACTGTGCAGGTGCAGTAATTGTTATTATATTTTGGACACTATCAATTTATTATTCTACATATACTGTATTTACTTTATAGATACACCCCCACCAGCAGTTTTGCTCACAACTTTCTGCGACCAATTTTATCTTCAATCAATTGTTCCAATACAGACGATCCCTCTGCTCTGATTTATTCAACTAGAAACAACTCAGTTCCTTTTCACAGGGTACATTTCTATACACTTAATAGCATAAAGAAACATTTTTCTCACACAAGAACTTCATTATTTCAGCTTTAAAACCTATTTAAGTAAAGTGATTTACGATTTTCAAATTTCTCCACAGGAAACTTAACTGCTTAAAATGTCGATTACAAATGGAAATTATCTATTGGCGATAATTTGATCAAATGTATCTGTTTATTTTTCTTGTGCACTGATAACCACATCTATTTGGCAATAAAACTATGGAATTCAGAGGACAAGGTCAGTATATTTTCATTTGTTAAACTGCAAACAACGACTAACATGCTAGATAAAAAAAATGAAACCACATTTACATTCTTAAAAGCATTATTTATGAGTTAACCCCTTTAACTCAGTTTGGGGTTTGTTTTACATAACACATGTATGTAGATGCTCTAAAGTGGCCATGAGATGTGTTTTAAGAAAAGTGAAAGTTTCAGTCAAAACAAGCAACAACTTTCCAAGTACAAAACAAAAAATGCTGGGTAGAAAAACAAAAAAGAAATAAAACCAAAGTGAAAAAAATATATTAATTATATTACACCTGTCACATTTTGGCTGTTAATTCCACAATTGCACAACTGCCACTTGCTTGATTTAGGTTTCCTCATTGCACTGCTTTTATACAGTGTAGAGCATACATGATGTAAACAAAAAAAACAAGATGTGTTGGTACACAGGACTATTTATTACTTAGTTTACTTTGGGATTATAATGTGTTATTTGCATTCCACGCATTAGATCAAATGTACCACATTACATGTTCCTCTAACTGTAGGGGACCGTTTCCATATCAGAACTATTTCCTCTTTGTCCTTGACTACCCAAGAACATTCCTTTTCAAGATATGTACAGCTCAGCTTTAGTCTTGACAAGCTAGAATGTCATGTGCCCCTTACTGAATGGATCACATCCACAAAGGCTTGTTTCTATACAGTGGAGCGAGGTCAAATGTTGTACCATCTATAATACTTCCACGTAACGTATATTATTATTAACATATAATTGAAACAGTATTATTGTCCATTTATGATGTGTACTTCTGAAACCCTAAAGTACAATGAATTTTAAAATATTGCTACTATATTTTGTGCATTTGTGAGTTACAGCACCCACTTATCTTAAATCAGATTATATTCTGGATGCTTCTGCTCATACAAAACAAAATGCGCCAGTCAGCTCTGTGTTCATGCGGACTGAACATCAAAGCTTAAGAAAAAGAGAAGAGCATGTGTTGCTGTCAAAAATGCAACTTTATGACTAAGCTGTTATCATGCTTCTAAGTATATATCTACTCAGCCATTAGCATGAGTCAATCACGAGCAGAATGGAAAGAAAAACTGAAGGCTCCTGTGCTTGAGCAGCTTTTAAGGAGCACTTACTAGCAAAAAAATAGGTTCAACAATTAATTAAACAGAGTATATCCCCTAATATATTACAGAAAAAAGCATAATATATTAAAATAACAATAATATTAAAAGTAACAAACCAACACAGCTTGCTAAAAGAAAGTTAAGAATTGTCAATTTAAGACCATTTAAACATCATGATTGTAGACTGTTTTCTTTAAACTTTTATTGAAAATATAATAGCATTATATCACTATGGGAGTTTCATATACCCATTATATTCGAAGGTATTTGTACCAAAAGGCTTATATTTATGACAAGCACCTGAAGTCCAAGAAAAACATTTAAACAGCATGACAAATACGTTTTGACTTTCTAAGTTTTATTAAACCATGTAAATATCTAATTAAGAAATAAAATATTTACGCATTCAAGTGACATTTTCTTTGTTAAGCCAACTAAAATACCATTTACAGTATTTTTCTTGTCAATGGTTATCTTGTAATACGATAGAATTAAAAAAATAATATTAACTATGAAACTTGGTTTTCCATCCATCCATCGCTTTTCCAAACCTCATCGTCCAATTCAGGGTCGTGGGAGAGCCAGAGTCTATCCCAGCAAGCAACACAAGCACAAGGTCAGGATACACCCTGTACAGTACAGTTGTACAGTCCATCACAGGGTCAACAGAGACACAAACATGGACACACTAACACCAGGGCCAATTTTCCAAGAAGCCAGTTAACCTCCCAATAGTTCGTTGGACAGCAGGAATAAACTGGAGCACCCAGAGGAAACCTATATGCGAGAGAGAACATGCACACTCCACATAGACATCAGCCCAGGTCTAAAATGAAAACTGGGCATCAGCAGAGGCAGCAATGCTAACCACTGTGCCAAAAACTGTTTTCTCTATTTGGAATTCTCTATTTTGGAATTCGAATTAACCTTTTGGATTAATTTAAGCAAAGACAATGACAAACCAAAGACAGAAACCTTAGTGTACTTAAAGCAATTATGCCCTTTTCAGAGAAACATTGGTGATCAAATATCATTAATTTCACCACAGCAGATTTCTCGTGAATTCTTTATAGTTTCTGGGAACCCAGTTTTATTCTATGAAGAACTATTTAACAGCCTTGGGGGTTTATGAGACACA